AATGGCGAGTTATAAATTTAAGAGTTATTACGCAAACTTCTTGTTACGATACCTATCATACGAGTTTTGAACGTTGATTCAACGCGTGGCCCCAGTGACTGAAATTATAATATTTATCATTCTTGTAACTTGAAACAATTCGTATTTCATGTTTCTTTATTTTTTTCTTTTTTTTTAATTGCATTTAACTAACGATAAAAGCTTTTGTTAATATATGTATATTCAATTATAAAAAAAAGAGAAAAAATACGTTTGTTATGCAATTTATGTTAAATTACGATAATTAAATAAATATATGCTTGAAAATGGTTTTGAGCAAAAAACAAAAAACAAAAAGAAATACTTGCACGACAAGAAACAAATTTTCTTCATTTCCTCCTGTCGAAAATGATTACGTTGACGATTACTACTACTACTACTACTACTACTACTACTACTATACTGAAATAAATAATTTACGAAGCGGATACGCGTAACGTATGTTTAATGCAAATGAAATGCAATAAGGCGTAAACACGGGTAGCATAAGGAGACTAATCCTACGTCCTTGAGGCACGTTGGCCGTCCTCCATGATGGATGCAATTTTATTTTTATTCTTTTTCTTTTTCTTTTTTTTTCTTTCTTGTCTCTTGGTATCTTCATTCTTGAGTAGTTTAAAAAAAAATCATTTAACTTTTCTTTTTCTTTTTTCGTATAAAAAATGTACTCGACCACCTTAACCGAGTGACACCATTTCCCATAATCGAAATCATTTAATCGTAGCATTTTTTTTTTTTTCTTTAATTAATTTTTTTCATCTCTCTTTTCGTATTTAAAAAGAAAGTGATTATTATGTATAAAATATTTATTAAACAAGTGTGAAAGTATTATAATATGATACGATGATATTATCAACACTAAAGAATATTAATAAAAGTATAATATGATATTACAATTTATTATAATTTATATTTAGAAAAAATCATTTCAAATAAATTTAATAGTAAGACAAATTTTTACGATAAGAAAATTTTGGAAATATTGTAATCGATAGTCTACGACAAATTCATTTGATTCTTCGATTAACATATACATATGTGAATGAAAAAGTATATATAAAGTTTTCTACATATGACTAAAGAAGGTATCGGTTGCATTCATAAACGATGACGTTTCATGATCGTATGCGGAATACTAATTATAAGAACGATATAGTTCACGAACGGGAAATCGTTTAATTGTATTTTTATTTCTGTCATCTCCTTTTATCGACAGACATCTGCAATGAAACAAGAAAAAACAAAAAAAACAAATATGCAAGAGTAATTTACGTTATGTCGAATGAATTTCTGTAAAAAAAAAAAGATGGTTGGTGGTATAACCAACTCGACGATGATAAAAAAACAAAGAGAAGAGAAAAATAAATACAAAAAAAAATGTACAGAAAAAAAGAAAACAAGGTACTCGTTATCGCATTACGATTGACGATAACATTATGCAATAGTATAGAAGTAAACTGAGGTGATCATGCATATCCACAAGGTGTAACTAAAATACGCGTGATTTTATTTTGAAAAAAACAATTTTGTTTCCTTCTACACAAACACACACACACACACATGCATAATAATAAAATAATAAAAATATATTACGTTGAGAAAAATTCGACCGAAAATAATGAACATTTTATTATGTTAAAAGATTTTGAAATATAATCTAAAAGAATACTGCAATTCTGATTTAAATTTATTTGAATTATGTTAGACTCCGTTGACATTTATTTGCATGGGATCTTCTTCATAATTTCTATTTTCTATATGAATATACAGAGTTCAATTTGTTGCCTCGTTGAATTCCAATTATGCTTCGAAATAATTCTGACATTAGTTATGGTTAAGAAAGAGAGAGAGATAGTATGATAATAAATATAAATTTTGCGAAAGTATTGAAACGTTTTATCATAATTACACCATCAAATTTATTATTCCAATAAATATAAAATAATTATCAAACCCTACTCACTCGAAAAAATAAATTCTTTTAACTTAATTTTCTTTTTAATATCGAATATTATTTGTGCATATAAAAATGATATGTTTCCATTGTGTAAAAAATTAATTGAAACAATTTATCGATAGAATTTCAACTATCATAATTAATATTATTTAAAACTCGTGTACATTTGTATTAATAAATAAGAAATATGATACGATGGCAAATGAGAATATTGTTTTAATCAAATAAATGTGAGGCATGAGTTAAAATGATTCATTATTTTGCTATGTTACTTTGGTTACACACTGTATGTACAGTTACATAGGTGTATCGTTTTACGAGTACTCACGGTCAATGAAGATATGCGACAAGTACGCAAGAAATGTGAGAGACCTGATGTATATATCTCTATACAACTAATTCAAATATTTTTTATATATGTTTATATGTAATATATTTTTTTAAATTAATAATTTTTTACAACATTTTATTACTTATACACGTAAATTATTATATAAAAAAAAAACAAGAACACATTCTCCTTTTTCTATCCTGACTAACGAAATGCAAGAAATCAAAAATAAATAATCGAAGTGATCGATAATAATTAAACAATATTTTATTTTCTTATTTTTTTTATTATAACTTCCACGTGAATGATTTATTATTTTTTTTACGTCATTTTACAAGCAGAAAACAAAAATTAATAAAATGTTTTTTTTTTCTATCGTAAATAACGAGATATGATAAATGAAAAAAAAAACAAAATAAATAAAAATAAATGAGACGTCTGTTAAAAGAGAGAAGACTCATTGATTATTTGATAAAAAATCTTTTGAAAAATGTACTTGTGTATGTAATATCTGAACGTTTATAAAGGAAGAGGAAATGATAAAAAAGAAATTCTTGGGTAGAGAGAACACGGTAGGATACAAGAAATGCGATTTTCTAACTAAACGATCGAGAAAAGTGTGTACCGGCAATGGCCTCGTTCGTTCACCATGATGACCGTCAATTTTCCCAGCAAATGACGAAGACTTCCCGCTGTCGTTCCGATTTCCAATTTCTTTATATCTATTTGCCCTACCTTCTCTTTCTTTATCTTTATTATTATTATTATTACACTATTTAAAT